TACATGCAGGCAATACACGCATACACATAAAATAAAAATAATAAATAAAATATTTTAAAAAAATATTCTTGGCTCCATGGAGGCTTCTCCTTTAATGAGTCCAAACTAAATAGATTAATGAGCAATGCCCAAAGCTTTTCTTAAGTGAGGCGCCCATATTACTCAGCATCTCTAGAGATACAATTATGTTTATGGACAGAAATGAATGCTTAATTCTTCATTAGGTTTTTCTAAATCAATACTGATGACAAAGAAGAAAAAATACTGAAAAGATACATCAATTATTTTAGATTTTTTTTCATGTATCCATGTCTTATTAAGGTATTTCAAATGATTTTCCACTGGAATACAGACTAAATGTCCCTGATCAGAGTTGAAACCTTAAACATTTATTCCTCAGTGTTAAGGTTCCATGTCCTATTTCCAAAGAATTCTCCATGAATCATCTTTAAATGTTCAGGCACATGAATCACTTGAGGTCACTGTAAGCATGTAACATTCTTTGTCTGTATGAAGGGGGAAACTAGCAAGTTAATATGCTATGAAATGTCCTGAAAAGCAAATGTATGTCCATCACTTGCTTCATTTTTCATTGAGATAATTCAAGCAAAGATGAAGAAATAGCATTCAACTAATATGAAACAACTAAATGGGGAAGAAAATATTTAGAAGAGGTTCTGCTGACAGTCTGAAAACCTCTTTCACAACACTGGCCCCCAGCATGTATACCCTCACTTTTCTAAACTTAACTGATAATAGGTCACTAAGACGCATCTAATCAAAAAGAGCCTGTAAAAGGAAAGCCTATTTTAGTGCTAAACAAATACTTTACTGTTTTTATAATGGTTCAACAAAGATAGGTCTCGTAGCATAAAAAAATGTATGAAAGGATGATTGCACTACCTGGGCAAACAAGCCATCTCTCCCAAAGAGATGTTTGAGACAGTAAGACACGGCTGTTTAAAGCACAATGCAGTGATCTAAAGTCACTGAAGAGCCTCGCTAAGAAAGGCCGGCGTTGCTGTGCTCCCACAGTCTGAGAGGCTGTGCTGAAGCAGGAAGTGGAATCCGCAGTGCTGGTGGACCTTTGCTTCATACCAGGGAAAAGGCAACAGAAACAGAGTAAACACTTCCTTCAGAACTCTAAAGAAAAGGAGATTTGCTTTCCTTCGATCTGTTTCTAGTGGTTAACACTGATCTTCATTAAATGGAAAGAGAAAACTCCCTAGACCTGAGGACTACACCTGCCCATTGAGAAGCATCAGGTGTCAGCGGAAACCTCCAACTCCTGGGATCTTTTTTCATGAATTCTAATTTCTTAACAACTTTTAAGACTCATAATTTTCACTCTTTGAAATATACACTTTAAAGATTCAGAAGAATACAATGGACAAAGTCCAGCCCATGTACCTGCCTATGAATTCAGCTTCTTACCAAAGAAGACACAACACACACAGTGACTAATAGCATACAATAAAGGAATTTTCATAAGTATTTTTTGATATGAAAAAGAAAGGTTTTTTTCCTTAAACATGACCTTTCCAGAACAGTCTAAGCCATTTAACTTGTGAGCAGGAAAAAGCCTAAATTAATCTTTTCCACTGCACTGTTTATAATCCAGAAGTACCTTTTAAAATGTATAGGTCACTGCTTATATTAAAATGACAAAATATGAAATTAAACATTTCTTATCAACAGGGAACTCTACTGTACTATCAGAGATGGATCCAAACCCCAGCTCATGAGCTTTTAGTCAAATCGGCAATCACAATGCAAATACCCAAGCTCTGGCTTCTGGAGAGGCGGGTGGGAAGCAATCTTCCTCTCCCCTCTCTCTGTAATTTTGTGCATTCTGCAAAGAGAAGAAAATAAGTATGGAAAACTTCTCTAATTTACTCCTGCAAAAAGAACAACTGTCACTGCGGTACTATTCTTACACTCACCAGACACAACTGGCTTTCAAAACAAATGTATAAAAATCAAGATTTTTTTTTTAATTTATTATTTTTATTTTATGTGTATGCGTGTATTGCCTGCATGTAAGTGAGCATACCTGTGTCAGGCAATGTTGCAGAGGTCAGAAGAGGGTTTCGGATTCCCCTCAAGCTGGAGTTAAAGACGGTTCGTAGCTGCCATGTGGGTGCTGGGAATTGAACCCGGGTCCTCTGCAAGAGCATTCAGTGCTCTTAACCTCTGAGCCATCTCTCCAGCCCCCAAAATCAAGATTTTTAAAAAACCCACCCACACATTCTATCTAATTATTCAACAAAGTATCCTCTTAAGTAATATAGGCAGCCTCATTTGCCAAAATGGAGAAAAACAGAATTTTTGAAATCAAAGCAAATTTTTCTTTCAGCTTACATTGTAATTCCATTGTAGTCTTTTTTTTTTCCCTAATTTTGTACAGTCAACTGGTATTGGAAAAAAGTTGTCAATTGATAAAAGATCAACGATCTACAAGCATATATGTTTTTAAAACTTTCAGGAAAAAACATAACTGAGAAAAATTCCAATTTGTTTCAATTCTTTGCTTTTCTTATTTTTCTCATTTTTGTAAGTATAGATTTATTAAACAAAATAGAATAAGAATTTCAACAAATTACTTTTTAATGGTAGGAATGAAATATAATCAATGTAATAAGAATCTTCACTAAGATAGACAGAAAGAGACAGAGACAGAGACTGAGAAAGAGATGACAGATAAAGGCAATGCTCTTCCTTGCCAGACATTACCACATGCACAGGAGATAATGATGGCCTTTTTGAAAATCACCAATTGGCATGACTTACAGTAATAACTGTTTCAGATAAAAATCAACAACACGTACCCAAACTAGAGGGTATAACATGAATTTAAAAGCAGGGTTTTTATCTGTTCATAAAACAAACAATTCAAAAAGCAAACCATCAGTGAGTGTGCAATGGAGAGGCCTGACGGCCAGCCCACCTACACTCAAGTGCTCGGCTTCCACTGCAGCATGACCTCTGATGCGGCACTCTGGGAACAGCACACTAGTTCTCTGGGTTTCCTGCCAAGAACACCAATAAACTTAAAATCAAAGGCGTTCTGTAAAATAAATGGCTGGGATCTATAAAGTCATGAAGGATAAAAGCTAGAGAAGTGTTGTAGAAATAAACACTGTGTGAACCTGGATATTCACCGTGTACCAGAAAAGAATAATACTAGCAAAATTTGCATAAAATCTATAGGCTAAGTCATAATATTGTACTGATCCTAACAGTCTCATTTTGATCACTACCCTGTGACAACAGAAGAAAATATAGAGGGTAAATTAAATATAAAAATATTCACATTAAGGATGGAGCCCAGGCGAAAGGAGCACAAGCTGTAGTCAGCCCCAGTAGGGGAACTGCAGGAAGCAGCAGTTTTTGGAGACAGAATCAGGCCAAACAAACAATCATAAACCAGGTACTATGAAAGCAAACTTAAATTTCAGCATCATACCCAGAAAAATTAACCAACTTCTAAAATCAGAATGGAATTTACTTGGACACGTATCAACATATATTAGGTTTAATGTTGGTTTCAGTACGTAACAGGCAAGTCTCTTTGGTGAGTTATGCATGTGACATAGGCAGGATTGAAGACTGATGAGCTTACCAATGGCAATAATGCTATTTTGGAAAGGGAATGGTCTTACCAAAGTTCTAAGTTTACATTTGAGTACAGGTGATTTGAACTGCAAAGCCTGTTTGGAGGCACTGGGTGGACTAGCTGGTTTTGTTCTGAGTACTCTGTACCCTAGTCTTTTGGCTATATCTGTGAATCGTGACCCAGCAACCAAGGATGACCCAACCCTGCAGCCAAAGAAAGGAAACATCCTCTATTACTGGATTAGTTTCTAAGCCTGCTTTAGAAAGATGTTATTTCCTATTCTACTTCAGATTGTGTCTGCAGCATACCTTGGGTCTTAACAATATAAACTATTTATAAAGGCCCTTCACTTACCTGAACCTGGCCTAGAAAGTCACTGATTTCTAAGTGAATATGCATAACAAAAATAAAATGGTAAAAACATTATTCCTACAACCTTCTAAAAAATATTTCCAAATAAACTACACATTTTGGCTATATTAGAAAACTGATAAAAGTCTGATAAAAATTATATTGAGGAGATCCAAGAAAAAGATTATACAGAAATTCTTTGCCCAACATTATAACATTATCATAAATCTGAAATGTCAAAATAAAAACGAGTGCCTATCTAAAGGGCACCATTCTGGTTTTCACTTGGTTTGATGACAAGCTAAGTCACAGACAGGCAAACTGCCTTGAGAGCAGACTGCCAGGACTGTGAACAGGACACTGTCCTTCACTGCTCAGATCTGCTGCTGTGTCACAGAAGCATCCAATGATACTGAAATGAACAGGAATGGCTGGGCTCCAATAAAACTTTATTTATAAAATCAGCCAAGTTTGATGGCTCCCTGGTGTCTGGTCCATGCCCAAAATAATCCATTAGAATAGTTACTCTTTTGGTTAACATTTGGTGATCACATGCCAGGTACTATAAAGTGCTCTACTGGCATGGGCTCATTTCTGCTCTCACCAATATGATTAAGTAGAGATTATTATTCCCATTGTCTACAGAGGAAACTAGAACTGACAGAATTGAGCACAGTTAAAGAAACTTGCTAAAGCCACACAAACAACAAATACGAACCATAGTATGCCTGATTCCATACTCTGAACTATAATCAATATGCTGTACTTCGTATGTGGGTTGGATTAAATGTCATGTGCAACAACAAAGGAATTAGCACCACTTCTGATTCTCCACCTCCTGAGTGTTGGAATATAGGTGAGCACTACCACATCCAGTTTTTCGTGGTGCTGGGCAGTGAACCCTGGACCTCATGGCATGTCAGCACTCTACTGACTGAGCTACATCCCAGCTCAGAAAATAAATGATTTTTGGAATGACAAACTAACAATCCAAAGTCAAGATCTGCATCCCAGTAAAGTACTTCTTACAAACCTCCTGAAGCTTCAAGGACATGAGCCCCAATTGATCCTGACGTCTCTCCACCAGCTCTCTCTCTGTGCGCATCTCTCGCTCTATTTCCTGAAGCCGCCGCTCCACCCGATCTGAAACCTCAATACGAACAGAGCAATAGTGACATTAAAGAGTGAGAGGGAGACAAAACTGAAGACACATTAAGTGGCAGATATGCTAAGCCTAAAGCATCTAATTCTGACTTGTTTGTAGAGCCCTTTTCAATGACACTAGATAAAACACTGGACAAAAAAATTAATTGAAACTTACAAAAAGAAATCATCACTCATCAAATAATCTACATCCAGGTCCCACCAATAGAACTCAAATTTTTCAGACAACAATAATTGCTCAGAGTACAAATACACTAACGAGAAAAGAGTGCCCTCTGGTGATACAAAGGTGAAATGCCAGTTTGCCAACAATTGTATTTATTATCCAATTCATGATCTTGACATGCACATGCAGCGAATCATCCAAATGGCTTCACAGAGCTTGCCAACTTTTCCAACTGTGATTCACTAAAAACAAAAAGCTGTAAAAGATCAAACATCAAAGGCAAACTGAAAAAATGTTTAATTGGGACCCAAAAACAAACATAAAAGAATTTTCTCTGATGCAGCAAGATCTTCCTTAATCGTGTAAATTCAAACACACTTCATATATATCAGTACATACTCCTAAAAAAATTTACACTGCAATGTACATGTCTGGTGAATAGAAGACATCTTGTAATCATTTAAAAGCATGTCAGGCATAGTGGCACACACCTTTAACCCCAACACTCAGCAGGCAGAGACAGGTGGCTCTCTGAGATCAAGATCAGCCTGATCTCCATAGCAAGTTCCAGGCCAGCTGTGGCTACAGAGAGACCCTGTCTCAAAAAGACAAAAAGAAAAAGAGAGCGAGAGAAGCAATAAAGCCCAGTTATTTAAAAAAAAAAAAAAAAAAAAAAAAAAAAAGTCTGCTACAGAGGCTGGAAAGATGGTTAAGAGCACTGGCTGCTCTTTCAGTGGACCTATGTTTGTTTCCCAGCACCCACATGTAGCCTACAACCATCTCTAACTCCAGTCTCAGGGGATCCAACGCCCTTCTGTCTTGTGTAGGCACTGCACATATGTGGCATATGTGGTGCATTTACTTGCATGCAGGCAAAACATATACATAAAATGAAAATTTTTTTTAATTTAAGGTTTTGCTAATAAATCTCTGTTTCACAGTCAAGAATGGTCTGCTCATGGGCTGGAGACACAGATCAGTGGGTACAGTGCCTGCCATGCAAACATGAGAGACAAGAGTTCAGATCTCTGGAACCTGCATAAAGCTGACATAGTGGCAGGCATCTATAATCCCAGCACTCCTATGGCAAGATAGGAAGTGGAGACAGGAGAATCCTCAGAAGCTTGTGGGCCAGCTAGCCTGACATACAGAGTGGGCAAACAACAGAAGATCCTTTCTCAAATAAGGTAGAAGGTAATGATCAACACCTGAGGTTCCCCCGACTTCCACCCTTCTCCATGGCACTCACACTCAAAAATCACAAACATATACATCCTTACACAGAGACGTTTTATAAAAAGAATGCAGAAATGTTGAGGTGGTAGAAATGTTCTAAACTGAACTGCTAACAACTGCACAACTCAATCAATTTACTACAAAGCAATGAATTACAGACTTAAGGGTAGATTAATTTGATGGTAAATTATAGCCTAGTAAACTTGTCACTTAAAAAACCATGAATAAAGTGCGATTTGGTGGTACAGACCTCTAATTCCAGTGCTTGGGAAGTAAAGACAGGAGAGTCATGAGTTGAAGGTCAACCCTGGGTTATATACTGAGTTTCAGGCCAGCATGGGCCTCCAAAATCAAAAAGGGAAGAGAATAGACTAATATAAGTTCAATTAAGTAATCAATAAAGGCTGAGCAAAAGAGGATCTTATGAAATAACTAAGCGGTTTATGCTACTAACACTGCTAAGTCTTGGGCATCTGTGATGGTTAATGTCGACTGTCAACTTGATGAGTGTTAGACTCACAAGGCAACAATGCCCCCTGGGCATATCTGTGAGGGAGTTTCCAGATTCCCTTAATTGGATGGGAGGACTCACCCTACATGAGTTTGGACTATTCCATGGGCAAGAATCCAGGACTGAAGAAAAAGGAAAAAGTGGTTGATTACCAGCACTTGTCCCTCCCTGCTTCTTGATTATGGGCACAATTTGACCAGCTCCTGTCACCAGGACTCGACCATGATGCGCTGTATTCTCAAACTTTGAGACAAGATAAAACCTCCCTTTCTTAAGCTGATTTTGTCTGATATTTTGGCACAGCAACAAGACATGTAACTAATACAGTATCCAATTTCTACTGCTTGAAAGTAATTATTTTCCCTCTCTCTCTAAATACAGGCTATTTATAAATAGCCTTACTGAAAACTCTACATACTCTTAACCAAGATCCTAATTTAGGTTCAAACATCAACCCTGATACGGCAAATGATTAGCACTGCATTCAAAATACATACACCACCTGCTATAATAGAAAGTAACACAATCCTAAAAATGTTGTGTTTCAGTCTATTTTTACAAAATGAAATGGTTCACTCAGCACATAAAAATTACACTAACACTAAAAAATAAATAATACAGAATCACTGTATATTTTTTAGAATGGTTTTTTTTTTTGGTTTGGGTTTTTTTGTTTTGGGGGTTTTTTGTGGGGGGGTTGTTTGTTAGTTTTGGTCTTTTTGAGTCAGGGTCTCCCTCTAGCCCCAGCTCTTCTGGAACTCACTATGAAAACCAGACTGGCCTTGAACTCACAGAGATCCGCCTGCCTCTACCTCCTGAATGCTACGATTAAATGTATGTGCCACCACGCCTGGGCAGAATGGTTATATTTTTTAAAAATTGCATGTTGGAGGTTAGAGAAGAGGTAGAGAAACTGGAGCACTACACTGCTGGAAAATGGAAAAGCACTAGAAAGTGGTAAGGTCACTACAGAAGATAGTATGTTGGATTTCCAAACAAATACAAATAGATGTATCAGATGATACAGCAGGCCAGTTTCCAGGCTGAGACTCAAAATACCTGAAAGCAGGTCCCAAGTGGGTAGTCACATACCCAAGTTCTTAGATAATTACTCACAATAACCAAATAGATAGTTCAATAACCAAAAGATGAAAACTCTAGTAATCAGGGATGGAGAGATGGCTCAGCGGTGAACAGCATTGGCTGTTCTTACAAAAGATCCAGGTTCGATTCCCAGCACCAGTGGCTAACAACCATCCAAAACTCCAGTTCTAGGGGATCCAACTCCCTCCTCTGTCCTTTACAGGCATTGCACAACACAGATGCACTTATATACATGCACACATAACATTCATACACATAAAATAAAAATAAATTTAAGCTCACCTCCTAGCCTGGGTCCTGTCCCATTCCTTCTCTTGGGGCCCCAGACACCTGGGCACCACTGCATCCTGATCCTTTCCATCCAGACCAACTCAGTTCCTTCTGGGCCTGGCCCCACCCTCACCTCCCTCTGCTTCCCTGGGCCTGCAGGACCCTCAGGCCTCTCTCCAACCCTCAGGCCGTTCTCTCCAGGGTAAGTCGATCCCACATTCCCTCCATGCCTTGACTCCCCCAGCCTCATTCACCCTCCCATCTCCCCTGCCCGTCTCTCCTCCTAGCCTGGGTCCTGTCCCATTCCTTGTCTTGGCACCCCAGACACCTGGGGAACCACCACTGCTCCCTGATCCTTTGCATCCACACCAACTCAGTTCCTCTCCAATCCCCAGGAGCACTCTGGGCCGACCCTGCACTCAACTCCCTCTACTTCCCTGGGCCTGCACCACCCGCGAGCCTCTTTCCTGGACCGAGGCTGACCTTTCCTCTTCCTGATCCTTTGCATCCAGAGCAACCCAGCTCCACATAGCAGTCCCCAGGAGCCCTTGGGGCCGCTTTCCACCCCCATCTTCCTTTGCATCTCTGGGTGGCATGGCCTCCAGCTGCCCTAGACCAGCATCTTTCCTGGGCCCAGCTCCCAGGCCAGTCCAACCCCCAAATTCCTGAGGCTAAAATCTTTCCTGGAGGGATCCAGACCTTAGGAGAAAGCCTGAGAGCATCTGATCCTCATCTGAATTGGGCCTCTATGGGAACTCCTGAAGACAAAAGCAATCTGGCTACTCCAATATAAAATCAAAGGAGAGAACCAGAATGTTAGAGGAACCAGCTTTTCATGCCCAAAAAGTAAACCACAAAGACACATAAAGTTCACAAAAAGAAGCAGACCTAAACTTGAAGGCTTGAGTCTCACACAAGAATCAGAAACTACAAAAGAAATTCACATGTCAAAATCACAGAGAAAAAATAACAACATAAAAAACCAAACATATCCCCACCAAATACCAACAGTCTTCTAGAGGAGAACAATGAGAACCCCCTAGAGACAATGCAGTATATGGAACTCAAAAGAACAATTATAAACATGATAAAAGAATTCAGTGAATTTAAAGAAAACACAAACAAAGAAATCAAAGAACTGAAGGAAGATAGGGATAAACTTCTGAATGAATTCAGAAAACAGAAGTATTGAAGAATACTCAGGCTGAAATGAAGAAGGAAGTAAAATGCACAGTAAGCCAATTAGAAACAACAGGAGAAAGCCTCACCAATAGGATGAATGAAATGGAAAACAGAGTATCGAGACTGGAAGATAAAGTGGACAAAGTAGACCACTCAAGCAAAGATTATAAAAACTTTAAGAAGCCACAAGAATGGAAAATGCAGGAATTGTGTGACACCATAAAAAGACCAAGCTTACGAATCATAGGTGTACACGAAGGAGAAGAATCCCAAGATAATGGCATGGACCAGATCTTCAACAGAATCATGGAAGAAAATTTCCCAAAATTAAAGAAAGACATGCCCATACAAATAAAAGAACCATATAGAACACCAAACAGACAGGACCAGAAAAGAAACTCTCCACAGCACATCATAGTAAAAACAAGAAACGTACAAAACAAAGAGACAATACTGAAAGCTGCAAAAGAGAAATATCAAGTCACATATAAAGGAAAACCCATTAGGATTACAGCTG